CGCGGTAATGGGTTCTTCAGGCAAAGAATCGTCTGTTCCTTCGGAGTCGTCATCGCCATCCTCAGTTGCTTGAGAGTCTTCCTCCACTACCCGATCAACCATGTCATGGATGATACTAGTAGCTGCCGCCTTCAACGTATCATCAACCATAGAGGGTAGGGAAACTGGAAACGGAAGGACAACCCCTCAGCTAGCGGCCTAATCAGCAGCAAGAACGGGAGCCGCAGCAGAGCCTACAGGTTCTGATGGCAGCGGTAGCTGTACCTCCTTGTGTATGAGGATGTCACCCATAGCTGGGGTAGGAGATGTAGCATCCCCAGTTCGCACCTGAAGCGTGCCTAAGTGAGAAAGTGCCAAGTCATGCGCCTGATCGGGACTTTTCGCGACAGGGAGCCCCACAGCCGCTGAAGCAGTAGCGGATGACGATTCTTCCAACATTTCCTCGTCTTCTTGTAGCTGCCCAGCAGGCTCCATCGTCATCACAGGAGGCAACGAGACCACCCCACCCTGATCCTTCATAGAAGAGGTCACCACGGGTTCTGCTGAAAAAGGTGCCATATCCTTAGCAGCAAGAGCCGAGCCGGCCTGCTTAGCCATCTCCTTCCATTGTATGCGTGGGTCAGATTTTGATAACCCTTTGGACCGGAGCTCGAGCTTTTTAACGTGGCATTTGGCATCTTCATGCCCCTGGCGATAGCAGTGGGAGCAATAGCTCGGCATGTGCTCATGTTGTGAGAACCCGTAATTTTCTTAATTGCTAGGTTTCATTTTCTCTTAATTGCACGTTTTTTTTCCACATTTTCTTTATTCGAAAATTTTAAAAATATTTGCACAAGTAACTTAATATTTGCACAATTAACTTATTTATATATAAAAATTATGGTCACATACCTATTTAAAAACCAACAATAGTAACAGTTATTAAGAGTCTAAAATGCAAATGCAATATGTATATATTATTATTATTCTTCAAGGTTCTCACAGTCTACGGACCATGAGTACTTTGGTTGACGGAGTGTCAACAGGCGTTCAAGCTTGGGGAATTGAACTGGTTTTAGAGCCACCCGTATCCTACCATTGTGATGTTACTTTTCTGTTATTGATGTGAAATAACCTGAATACTTGTTATTTGGATATGAGTTTACATTTACACCCCTGATTACTCACTAAGCATATAGCTTACCCCATTCCATTTGTTTTCCTTAGCAGGGGGCTGACGCGGGGATCGTTCGGGAAGGTGTTTAGTTTTTTGGATTAGAGAATAGTTGAATTTATCCTTGTTATAAGTTGACTAGTAAGATGTATATAGTTATCGTGGTGGTTGTAGTTATTAGCTTTTCTAGGGTTTACTTTCTGATGCTCGTGGTATGTATGACTTGATGTACTAGTTTATGCAACCCTTGAAACTATAATAGAGAACATAGAACTTACTTTTGGTGTAAACTTTATTTTCTAGTTTTAGAGTATCGAGTCCTGGCGCGAGTTGAGTAGGCGACCCGCCGAACCCTAAGGTATACCCCAGGGGGAGGTGGAGCCGTCACACCCTTAGGAGCCCTTCGCATATTAGAACATGTTTGTGTGACAATCACTACACTTTCATGATATTTGCTATTTTTTAGGGTTTTTATCATTTTGCATGACATTTCCCTTGTATACGTATCCCTTATCCCATATTTGCCCTATATACACCCCTTATCCCATATTTCCCTCTTTATAACCCCGTGTGTGACACATGACATTAGACTTGCATTTTCATATAAGAAAATTAGAGATAGGCTAGTACACTTGCTTGATTAGATTAGGAAATACCCCTCGAATATGGGATATGGACGAGTTTGGCTTTATAGCCTTAGCACGCTCGTATTCCCTCTATTAAAGGGAACACTGAAGTCATGAGTATTAGTCCCCTGCACCCATTATGATGCATTCTTTTAGATCAAGTATATTTGTATAATTATTATTTTCTTTTCTTTTCTTAGAGTCTCATATTTTGCACATTCGTGACCTCTTCAAATAGTTACTCTTGGGCATTACAATTAATGTGATTTGCGCCAATTAAGTTTCCCCGATACACTAGGTTTAGGTTTTGCATTCATATAGTACATCCAAATGTGATAAATTTTTAGATTAAAATAAGAAAATTTTTGACTAAATCACGCAACTAACCTTGGCTAGATTGAAAGGGTGTTTTGGATTTTCATTCTTGCCTTCCCTTTTTTCAAATGTGACTCCCGAACACATTTCTCAAATTTTCGAGAATTTGGAGTTGTTTAAAAAGGATTTTTTCTATTTTTTTATTAAAAATTTATTTTTAGGTGATTTGGTACACCTTAACTTAATACCAAGTGGTGACTCCGATTTTTAGTCAAAAACCCTTTTTAAACTATAATTTGGGCCAAAATCGTCGCACTTATTAAACCCCATTTTAGGCCCACATTTTCTTCATTTATTTCCTAAAAATCAAAACTCATTTTTTAATAAAAAATAAACCAAAATTCATTTTTATAACACTTTGATTTTTATTTTAAAAATGGGGCGCGACAGTTTGTACTTGTCCAAATATTACACAAGTAGTCAGTGTTGTTAGCAGATATAGGTCTTATCCTTAAAAGGCATATTGACAATCTGTGAAGTGGATTCTCAGAGGAATTTCAAATAGTTGTTTGAAGTTTGGGAGAAACAATGACACTTTGGTTAGTTTTGTAGACTCTGTAACGACCCCACCGTACCCAGAGGCGTACCAAAGGGCTTAGCAGGCCGTCTGCCTAGCTCGCGCCAGGACTCGAAATCAAAAACTAATAACAACTAATCGTACCCAAACGGTTACTATACACATTATATACATGCTCAAAAGTTCACTATGTACATCATATACAGCAGCAAAAATGTTCTATATACAATTCAAAAGAAGAAGTCCGAACTACTGTTTCATGCTATCACTACAACTATAACCATAAAGTGGACCCTAAGGTGGGTCCGAACGCTTATCACTATTACTATTACACGCATAACAATTGCCCAAAGAAAGGTATTAAACCTAACTAAACTAGTCGAACCCCCAAAAGTGGTCCCTGCGTTCACCCCTATAAGGAAAACAAAGGAAAGGGGTAAGCTAAACGCTTAGTAAGTACGCAGGGGTAAAAGCGTAAATTTCACATGGTAGGAGCAATTAAAATCACATAGCACCCAGTTATAAGCAAAATAATAACACATATGTAGGATACATATTGGCTTCAAAGCCAAGTAGTTTGTCATGCTTGACCACTTGCCGACACTCCGTCGACCGCAATTTATGATCCGTAGAGCTCCACTTGTCAACCCGCCGTACACCTTAGCACCCACACTGGCCAGTCACCCACACACACATAATAGCTCGAGCAAAGTTGGTTCATGCACACAGGTTTACATATTTGGTTCACAAACCAATTTACATATTTAATTAACCTGATGATCTCAAGTCTCAGTTAGACTAGCTCCGACCAAACCCCTGCCGGCTCGAATAGTCCAACTAGGTTCTGAGATCGGGCCCCACACATATCACATGTCACACACACATATCACAAATGTCACCCCGAGTTACAAGCTCTAGGGGTTCAGTCCCAACAGCATGTCATTTGCACATATCAAGTACAAGTACAGGTACATTTTAGGGTTTAGGTCGAGTGTGATAAAGTACACCCTCGCCTAAAGTCCCTTTCATTCAAAGCATAACATATAAGGGCGTTGACTTAGATACATAGCCCTAGATACTTACCAAAGTACAAAAGAGCTACAACTAAGCAAAAGCGTCGTTCACTCCGCTAGTGGGCCCCAGCAGCCGCCTCTAGCTCGTCGCGGTCTGCAATAGATGATTGCGTCACATTAGACCATAAACGGTTATCAAATAGCAAATCATAAGTAAAACGGCAAAAACGACACGCGCGCGCGCGGAAACGACTGACGGAAACGGAAACGGCCGTTAGTGCAGAAACGGCAGATTTGCTACCTCTTTTCATTTTCATTATAAGTTGGGCTACAAGTGTCGGTTTAAGGCGTATGAGACGCCCTTTCGAAGCTAAGAGGATACCCTATAACGTTTATGAAGACCTCAAGAACTGAAACTGGGATCTTCAGTACCAAGCGGACCAAACAAATTGGGTCACGAAAGCTGTCTAAGGTCAAATGGTCAGTTTCAGGGGTGCTGGCCGTTTTATATGCTACACATATCCAATTGATCTGAAACTTGACAGTTAGAAAGTTCATTCCAAGATGAATAACTACCATGAAGGCTGGAAAACCTGAATCCAAACGTGAATAGGTCAGCTAGACCAAAACAGGTTCGGACAGATTAAGGTCATTTTCGCGGACAGGCCCTGTTTGATTGGCTATATCTCATGTTATATAAATCCGATTCATGAAATTCCAAAGGCGTTGAAAAGCTCTGATATAGGGCTATAAGTTTGATGTTTTGGTCACGAGCCCGATCAGCTTGTAACCTGGTCAAATTCGAAGCCAAAGTGCCAGTTATAAACTGTCCTGGTTTGCTGTTTTGCTGGACCAAAGCGCGCAACCGCGTGAAACGACTTCGCACCACACACACAAGATTCTAAGCCATGGCTACACCATTCTAACACATATAAAGCACTCCCTAATGCCCTCACAAGACTCCCGAAATACCTCATGAAAACAGCCCCTAAACCCTAACCTTTTCTAACCAAATAGACAAGTTCTACCTTCATTAACATCTCTAACCAAAACTAATCCTTATCTAACCAAGGCATAATCATCTAAGCCCTAATCAAACCCAAAACATCAGCCCCTCAACCTAGGGTTTCTTACCCAAATTTTGGACATCATCACACCTCACCCAACAAATGAAATTAACAACTTAAGCAAGTCATTTACAAGCTCAATTTCACCACCAAAGCTTTAATCAAACATAAACCATGGAAACCCTAATTTATCTCCTCTTGGCCGAAATTCAAGACACCCAATATAAGCAAAATTAAACCATAAAACCATCACAAATTACAACTACATCATCAACAAGGCAATAACAACAAGAATCAACAATTTCAAAGGCTACAAGCCTTAATCCTCCAAGCAACTTTCAAGAGGAGTTTCTTACCTCCAACTAAGATATAGTACAAGAGTAGGACAACCTCCACCAAGCTCCAAGATGCTCCTAGCAAGCTTCAAGACCAAAGATGAAAGCTCCAAGTGCAAGAATTTTGCAAAGTTTCTTCTCCTTTTCTCTTGTCTCTCTCTCGGCTCTCTCTCTCCTTTTCTTTCTTGTTGTTTTGTCTTATGACATCTATGGTTTCTTATGTCTTATGACTTAAGGGTTATAAGACAAACCCATCTAACAACTCAAGATATTTTCCTACCTCAACCAATCACAAAATAGCATAGGAATTGCCTTTAAGTCCTTGCAACCTTGTCTTGCCAAATCATCCACTCTTGCCCTAATAACTTTCATTCTCTATCATATTACTCCATAGGACTTAATCTTAGCTTAATCCAAATGCCCTAATCTTACTTAGCCATTGCACTAATCACCCTTAAACCTTACTTACTTATTCTAAATCAATCTTTATCACACTTAAAATTAACCACATAACCACTTTTATGTCAAGGCCAAAATTAAAGTATAAACTAACTTAAACACTTTCAACCAAGGATTAACTAGGGTTTCTCCTCGTTTAGGGTTTTCTAACCTTTTAAACCCACTTAACCCTATATCAAGATATCCAACACATACCTACACATGTCTAATACACATTCAAACATGCAATTGCAAGAAAAATGGCTATCTAGGGTTTCGCTTAAAAATTTTTGATTTTCGAGCAATTAGGGTTTCTCAAATTCCCAATTAAGGATTTTCGGATTATTTGGAATAATAATCACAGTAAAACTTATTATTTTCACATAAAATCACAATTTAGGGCAACCGGGGTCTCACAACCTCCTCCTCTTAAAACAATTTCGTTCTCGAAATTATTACCTTTATGGGCGAACAAGATCGGATATTTCTTCTGCATTTCTTCCTCCATTTCCCATGTGGCCTCTTCTACATCGTGGTTTCTCCATAAAATCTTCACCAAAGGAATTTGCTTATTCCTCAATTCCTTCACCTTGCGGTCCAAAATCTGTACTGGTTGTTCCTCGTAGGTGAGGGATTCGTCTAGCTCTACATTCTCAGTATGCAAAATGTGGGTGGGATCTGGATGGTACTTCATTAGTAGTGAGACGTGAAAAACATTATGAATTCGGGACATGTTGGCTGGCAACTCTAACTGATACGCCACCGTTCCGGCCCGTCGTTGAATCCTATATGGCCCTATATATCTTGGTTTCAATTTCTTCCCTTTCCTGGCCGCAACAGTTCCTCTTAGTGGAGTAACCTTTAGAAACACCATATCCCCTACTTCGAACTCAAGATCCTTCCTTCGATGGTCGGCATAACTTTTCTGTTGACTTTGAGCTGTTAGTATCCTTTGGCGAATAATTTTGACCTTTTCCATCGCTTCTTCTATCCATGGCACTGCGGTAGCATCTAGAACCTTTCTCTCACCTACTTCATCCCAGAAGATCGGTGAGCGGCACTTGCGTCCATAAAAAGCTTCATACGGTGCCATTCGTATAGAGGAGTGATAGCTGTTATTGTAAGCAAACTCTATCATAATAAGATATCGGCTCCAACTTCCTCCCAGATCCAAAACACACGATCGGAGCATTTTCTCAAGCGTTTGTATCGTCCGTTCCGACTGTCCGTCTGTCTGAGGGTGGTAGGCTGTACTCAAGGTTAATTTCGAGCCTAAAGCTTCCTGCATCTTTTGCCAAAATCGTGACACAAAACAAGGGTCTCTATCCGAAACTATACTCACTGGTACTCCATGTAGGCGTACAATTTCGTCCATGTATAGTTGAGCTAGTTTCTCTAGGGAATATTTCATGTTCACGGGTAGGAAATGGGCTGATTTAGTTAGACGGTCTACTATTACCCATATGGCATCATGTCCTTTTTGGGTTCTTGGTAGCCCTGAAACAAAGTCCATAGTGATGTTTTCCCACTTCCACTCTGGCACTTCTAATGGTTGGAGCAATCCAGAAGGCTTTTGGTGCTCCACCTTTATCTGCTAACAGGTTAGGCACGTTTGAACAAATTGGGCTATTTCTCTTTTCATGCCCTCCCACCAGTATAACTTCTTCAAATCCTGGTACATCTTGATCGTACCAGGATGTACTGTGTATCTTGACCTATGTGCTTCTTCCAATATTTCTCGTTTCAATTCCTGGTCCTGCGGTATAACAAACCGATTACGGTACCGCAAAATCCCATCCGAGTTCACTTTGAAGTCAGGTATCGTTTCTTGTTCGGTTTTCTCCTTCCACTTCTGCACCTGAGTGTCCTCCTTTTGTGCTTCTTTTATCCGAGGGAGTAGAGTAGAAGTAACTATTATATTGCTAAAAAGCACTCCTTGCGGCTTAAGTTGAGGATTCCATTCCCCAGCTTTCTCTAGTAACTCTCACTCTTTTATCTGTAAACTTGATACCTGAGCTTTTCGACTAAGTGCGTCTGCTACCACGTTTGCTTTACCCGGATGATACTTTATGGTGCAGTCATAATCCTCTAGAAATTCCATCCACCGACGCTGCCTCAAATTCAACTCCTTTTGCGAAAATAAGTACTTCAGGCTCTTATGGTCGGTGAACACCTCAAAAGTTACCCCGTAGAGGTAATGACGCCACTTTTGTAGAGCAAAAACTATAGCCGCTAATTCCAAATCGTGGGTGGGGTAGTTCTGCTCATGAGGTTTTAACTTTCGGGATGCGTACGCTATCACCTGTCCATTTTGCATAAGTACGCATCCTAAACCCATCTTAGAGGCATCCGTATATACCACAAAACTGTCCTTTCCATTAGGCAGTGTTAAAATTGGGGCGGAAGTTAATCATCCTTTTAACTCTTGAAAACTGGTCTCGCATTTCGGAGTCCAAATAAATTGATTGTGAATTCTTGTTAAATCCGTTAGCGGGCCAGCTATCTTAGAAAAATCCTTAATGAAGCGGCGGTAATATCCTGCGAGCCCTAAGAAACTTCTGACTTCAGTCGGGCTTCCTGGTCTCTTCCATTCTGTTACCGCTCTTACCTTAGCGGGGTCCACCGCTATCCCATCTTTCGAGATCACATGACCTAAAAAGGACACCTTCTCCAGCCAAAACTCACACTTACTGAATTTAGCATACAGCTGATGGTCCTTAAGGGTCTACAGTACTAACCTCAGATGTTGCTCATGATCCTCTCGAGTCTTAGAGTAGACCAAAATGTCGTCGATGAAAACTACCACAAATTGGTCTAGATATGGTTTGAAAACTCGATGCATCAAGTCCATAAATGCGGCTGGAGCGTTAGTCAACCCAAAGGGCATCACTGCAAGCTCAAAATGCCCATACCGCGAATTAAAGGCGGTCTTAGGTATGTCTTCCTTGCGTATCCTTAATTGGTAGTATCCCTGCCGGAGATCTAATTTTGAATAAACAACGGCATCTCACAGTTGATCAAACAATTCATCAATAAGGGGTAAGGGATATTTATTCTTAATAGTCAAATTATTCAGCCCCCGATAATCTATGCACATCCGTAATCCTCCGTCTTTTTTCTTGACAAATAATACCGGGGCTCCCCAAGGTGATTCGCTCTCCTGTATAAATCCCAGGTTTAACAGTTCCTGCAATTGAGTCTTTAACTCCTTAAGTTCTGCAGGAGCCATTCGGTAAGGGGTTTTCGAAATTGGTTCTGCTCCGGGATGCAAATCAATCTTAAATTCTATGTCCCTTTCCGGAGGTAGTGACGTTAGTTCTTCAGGGAAGAGTTCAGGAAATTCGCACACTACTGGAACATTTTCAACTTTTAACTGCTCTTGTGGAGTGTTAATCAATACTGCCAAATACCCTCGGGCCCCTTTACTTAGCAGCTTCCTAGCTTTAATTCCAGAAATAAGAGTAGCTGAGGTTAACTTTCCTCGAACATCAAGTTGGAGTGTAGGTTCACTCGGTATATGAAAATCAACTGTTTTAGCGCGGCAATCTAACTGCGCATGGTATTTGACTAACCAGTCCATACCTAGTATGACATCATACCCCTGAAGAGCCAATTTTATTAAATCCACCAATAATTTTCGTTCCCCAATCCATACCTCGCACTCCTTATAGGCCATATTGGCAAGTAAACTCTTATTAGTGACAGGGGTCTTGATTTCTAGGTCATACGGTAACTTTTCAGCTTTAACATCGATATGAGCCATAAATGCAGGGTTAACAAAGGAGTGCGTGGCACCAGGGTCAATTAAAACATTCGCAGTACGCCGAAAAAGAGAAAGCGTACCTTCGATGATTACCGAAGGGTCAGTCACCTCTTGTCGACCCAGAGCATACACCCTGGCTGGCACTTTAGGTCGATTTCCCCCTGCATTGGCTGGCTTGGACGTAGTTGTAGACACCAAATTTTTGGTGTTTTATTATTTATTTATTTACTATTCGTTGTTTATTTGTTCTATTTTTATTTGTCACAATTAGTTTTATTTACTTTTAGTTTTAATTATTTTAGCCATTTTAGCGTAGAATTTCTCAAAAGAAAAAGAAAAGTGTTCAAAAAATATGTTTTAGTTGTTTTTAGTTTCAGAAAAATGAAAAATTGAAAAAAATTGAAAGAAAAAGAAAAACGAGAAAAACGAGAAAAACGATGAAAATAGAAAAATGAAAAAGGGAAAATTGGATTTGCATTTTGTTGTTTCTTATGCTAATTAAATTGTTTTTGTTTTAACTTTTATTATTTTCAATTTTGTTATTTAAGTTTTTTTTAAAAAATAAAAATAAAAATAAAAAATAAATAAAAATGATACGCGACTTGCAAGCTGCGTTTTTCGCAGCTTGCAAGGAAGGGCTTTGGGCAGCCCTTAGCTGCAAATATAGGAGAAATGGCTGGGGTTTTAGGGTTGGAGGTTCCGGTATAAAAAGAAAAGAAAAGGCAGCCGCAAAGGGGGATACAAGGAGCTAACGGAAAGAAAAACTGGAGCAAGAGGGGAGAAAGAATAGAGAGGAGGCAGGGCAGGTTGGGGGAAAAGAAGAAAGGGTTGGATTGAAAAAGAAACGGGGAGAGCAAGAGAGAAAGAGGGCATCGAGTGACAACCAAAAGGCTAGGAAAACTCAGGTCTGAGAAAGTTGAGACCGAGAGTGGGCAAGCAAAATGGCAAAAAGGAAGCAGCAGCCGCAGGAGAGCTTTGAGAGAGACAAAGGGGGGAGAGGGTGACGGAAGGAAGAAAACAGAAAGGAGAGTAGGGTTGGCTGCGGCGAAAAGGAAAAAACAGAACATAAAAAAGGAAAGCAGCAAGACAGCCGCAGAGGAGGAGGAGTTGGAGAATGGGCGGCTGAAGGAAAAACAGAAGGCTAGAGAGGGAGGCAGAGAGGAGAACAAAAACTGAGGGAAAGCTGTGAGAGAAAAGCAGAAGGGACTAGCGGCTAGCTGAAGGGGGTGAGAGAGGTTGGCTGTGAGAAAGGTTGGTTTGAGTGAGAAGAAACCAGGAGAGCCAGGAGTTCGGGGTTCGCAACTGAGAGAGAGAGGCGGCGAATAAAATCTGGGGGGAGAAACCACCGGGAACAGCAGTTGGAAAAGAAACCAGAGAAGGGAAAATGGACAAAATAGGACTGGAGTGACGGCGGAGTGAGAAAGAAAGAAGATTTGGGGATGCAAGGACGGTGCTGCGTTTTCATCTCTGTTCTCCATTGACGTCCTTCGAAAGCTTGGCAAACTCATCCGAATCTTCGACTCATTTTGCGGCGAAGGTAATATCCTTATCTGTCTTAGAGTCCGAAACTGTTTTCTTTTGTTGATTCACTTCTTTTTGCTATCTGCTGGTTGTTGTTTGTAGCCTTTCATTTTGTTTCTGTAAGTTTGGTTAAGCTTGGGTTTGAGTTTATGTTTCACAGTGAGATTGTCATGTTTGCTTGACTTGTGTGATGCTCGGTGAGATTGAAAACATAGCAAGGTCGCAGTTTGCCTCTTGTTGCTGTTGACTGGGTTTGTTTGGCGTAGGGTTGCAAAATTTTACAGACTTAGCATGACCTCTTGGCCTGTCTTTGTTTCATTGCTCCTGCATTTTTGGAGTTTCTGCATTCTTGATGATCCTTGTTTCAAACCAGAAACTGGGTGCTCGGGTTTAGAACCAGAATTGCGATGAACAAGCTGTGCGTTTGGATTTGTTTGTTTGCTGAAAATATTTGGTTGTTTGCGGCATTTTCTTTCTTTTCCCTTCTATTTCTGTTTTAGTTTTGCATCCCTGATGATCATCTCTGATTCTCTGTTTCCATAGCCTTTTCTCCTTTTTCTACTGCTGTCTTGTTGTTTAGTCTTTTACCCTTAATGGCTAGCTTCACTTCTTGTTTTAATCCTGCAATAAGAGTTGCTGTCTTAATCCTGCAATGATGAAATGGTTATGCTTAGATGAAATGTTTTTTGGTCAAAGCTTGGAAATGGCAATGACAAGTGCAGCAGTTTTCTTTCTCGGTTAATGAAAGTTTAAATAGAAAGTAGTTGCAGAAGTTTTCTTGTCCACGTAGCTTGCATGAGTTTTGCATGAAATAGTTGCTGAAAATTGCACTTTGATCCTCCAAGTCCTCCTTTGTTTCACTATGACCCAACAATTGAATAATTTTCTCAATTTGGTCCTTGACAATTTTAATTCTACCACTTCATTGCTTGTTTGCTTTAAGTAATTACTATGTATTGTTTCAATTGCATTTAATTCATGACTTTAGGGGCTTTATGACCAATGAGCTTGTGTTTGCCTATTTTCTTTAAATTTCCCAAATAAATTGGTACCTTGACCATTTTTTTATTTTGGAGGATAAATAAGTGATTTCACTTCATTGGGGCCCAATTGCAAGGGAGGTAACCTCTATCTCCTTAACTTTCATTTCTCCTACGTGCTCCTACGTGTTATGTGAATATGCATGTCTACTTCGCTTTCCTTGCCCTTCTTTAATTCCTTGCATTTATTTCATTTACTTTACTTTTATTTAAGTTATTCATTATGGGGTATGTGTACACCTCTTGGCTTGTAATAGATAGGGCTTGGCGAGCTTTCTTGTCCATTTTCCCTTTCCCTTTTTTTAGTTATTCATTATGGGGTATGTGTACACCTCTTGGCTTGTAATAGATAGGGCTTGGCGAGCAAATTTGGTCCATTTTCCCCTTCCCCTTTTGTTTTAGTTAGCAAGTGTAATAATTAGGGCCTTAATTTGTGTTGCATGCCTATGTGTTATTTGTTAAGTGCTTTCTTAGGCTCTTGCATCTAGTCGAGCATGCTAAGTGTTATGTGCTACGTGTTTATAAGTGATTTGCATGTCTACTCGCTTTCCATAGTGTGGATGAATGGAATGGATGAATGTACGTCACCACACTAGTCCAACGCTAGTTGTGGCTTCTTTTATTGTTTCCACTAGTCTAATGCTAGTAGGAATTCATAGAAAGGGCTAGTCCAACGCTAGACCTAATAGGATTTTTCCTTTGTTTTTCATTAATGCATTATTTGCCTGTTCACTACATATCATGCATTTTTTCTTAGTTTTATCATCTGGCATGCTCCTCGATTCCCCTTTCCCCTCACTTTAGGTCTTGCATCTCATGCTAGTTAGGGTACATTTGCCTGAAGAGTCCCCTTCTGATAAGGGAAACGAGCGAGTGTGGCTACTCGATAGCCTTAGCACGCTAGTTCCCCCTTCTATCAAAGGAAAAATCAAGTCACAAAGTTAGGACTCCCCGTTCCCGTTTTGATGCATTCCTATAGGATTCACGCATTTCATTCATTCACTATCACTTACTGTATATTCCATTCCTCTTTCTACATTCTCACTTCACACTACTTTCATTTTACACGTTTTTATTCAACTACTTACACTCTATACCATATCACTCGCACACATGCACTTGATGGCGTTTTCACCTTATTATTTTTTACTTACCTTACCTTGTAAAGACATTTGCACACCTTGATGTGAGACGGATCTAGACGAACACCAAGTTGGGATGATTGGCGGAACTTTGACCCTTCTAGAATCACGAGCCGCGAACTAAGGAGATTCCTTAACCCACGACTAGCAAATTTAGTGAACCAAAAGTATAGATAGCAGAACGCCACAATCAAGGAGACTACTTGATTGATAAGTTCGATGAACAACTTGAGATTAATTCTCAAGTATTCAAAGGAAATTCTCTTGAGGCAAGAGAGAGTGAAATAACTCACATATATTTTATAAAATCTGAATTCCTCTAATGAATGAAAACCTAGGCTATATATAGCCTTACAGGACTCAAACCGTAGAATGTCCAATGGACGACCTTGCCCTTCATTAAGGGCGAAAATGTCTAACAACTAATTGACTAAAATTAAGACTCTAAATTCGGCCAAAGTGAAGTGAAAATTGACCGAAATTATTAATGCTAACAAACAACTAATAATGGAAACTAAAACCCTAATTAGCAAGCTAGTACTCCGCGAACTAGTCTTTACTTGAATCTTCCAATTCCCCATGTGCTTGAATGGAATGGGCCTTGGTCTCTATATTCTCATCATTCCCCTCATCTTAAAGGCGATTTGTCCCCAAATCATGACTCTTCTTCCAAAACAAAGGTGATGAGAGCATGTGTATAGTCACCAAGCAGCCTGCATGTCGCCTTCTCAAGCGAAGAAAGATCAGGACACCCTTGTGGGACACCAGGAAAACTTGTGGTGGTGGTAGATACATGTTGCGGACAGCAAGAGTTCCATGATAATGGCCACACAAGTGACGTCTCAAGCCTATGGGTGGACCGTGAGCGGACGCCCGGTGAACCAAGGTTTGGTTGGGCTGCGCGTTGTACGCATCAAGACGTGCAAAAGCGGCATCAAAGGCCATTGTAACCCGACTAGTGCTGGTTGGAACAAGTAGAACTGGTACAGCACAAGGGCTTAGATTCTCTTGAATCCAACCCTTACCAAGCAACTCCTCCACTTGTCGTTGTTGTTCCTTGGTTTCCTCAGGATTGGTCCTATATGGTGCCTTGTTTGGAAGGGAAGATCCAGGAATGAAATCAATTTGATGTTCAATTCCCCTTAATGGAGGCAATCCATTAGGTATATCCTCAGGAAAGACGTCTTGATACTCCTGTAAGAGGTTAGTAATAACACTAGGCAAAGAAGCATCAAGAGCATTAGTGAGTAAGGATTCCTTGCCAAATAAAATAAATAAAACCTGATTAGAATGCAAG